GATAAAACAAGTTATTGATCAATAAAATCATCATTAATTAAAAGGTCAAAGGTCATAATTAGAAGAAGTCGATCAAAGCAGGAAGTCTGCCGTCGGTCCGAACGTCCTCGTCGTCTCTCCTCCCGTCTGACGAGTTAAAACCGACCAGCGACCGGTGGAGCTTTACTGCCCCCTGCTGCCTCTCAGCAGGAACTACACCCGAAGGCCGAGTCGGTCCACAAACCCAGCCGGCGTTCAGCTGCACGTTTACGGAGAAAATCCTGAAGTGATTATCAGTGAAATGGAGGGAAGCGGTGAAAGGAGGCTGCTTGTTGTAGTCAGAGATTGATTCAGTGGAAAATAGTTTCAGTTTTCCCACAAATACGACCGAAAACTCTTCATTTGTCGTCTTTAACTGAACCTGCTGAGATGAAATCACTGGTTTTACTGTCGGGACTAATTGAACCGATGAGTAGAAAACATGAAGCAGCTTTTCCACATCTGATGGTGTCGTTTATTTGACATGTTTACGATGATGTTTGATCCGATCGGTTGGTGTTGGAGCTTTATCGTCCTTCACCAAATCCAATCAGTAAAAAAAAGAATAAAAAAGGAAACATCAGTTTAGTCTTTATCGGCTGTTAGTCTGCAAATTATGGATAAAAGTGCAAATTTATTGAAGTAAAAATCAGTTTCGTTTGCTCAGTTATTGACCCTAAAATCAAAAAAAGGAGATTTTCTGTTGCTGCTCCGTTTAAATACACAATAAATAACATAAAATACGACATTAAATTAGACACTATGAACCCAGAGAACTCACCAACGAACACTTCAAACATCTCAGAAGCCGGAGGAGACGCTGTCAGACAGAAGGAACGTCGTGTCGGCTACGATTTCACACTTCAGTAAAGTTTCACTTAAAATATGGAGAAAGAAGCGTCGGAGCGTCTCAACCAGGAATCACAGAATATGTAAATAAAATAAAGAAAAAGCTTTTATGATCAGACATTTAGGTCGCGTGCGAGTAGATGTGGCGCCACTTCGTTATGTTTCAGCGTGTTTTAGGCATTTTGTGTGAAAAAAAAAGATTAAATTTAGTCATAATTAGAGAAGAAATGTGAACATCCTGCAAGAACGTGTGAATATAAAGTCATGTAACAGCAATGCAGCTTTTATTTATGCAGGTTTGCAAACGGTATTTAATTAAAAGTCTAATATTCGGTGTGTTTAAATTATTTGTAAAATCGCAGCCTTTCAAAGTAAAAGCTGATTTTAATAAACACTCGTCAATATGATGAAAAAACAGGAATAATATCCTAATAATAATAATAATGTTATTCTCTGTGTGTGTTTAAATTCATGTTTGAATTGAAATTATTTTTTTCTTTATCTGTGTTTCCTTTAATTGAAGCTAAATTATCGTGTTGGGACGACTTTATTTTATTTTAATTATCTGGAATTTACGACCTCATGAAGTCGAGCCTGAACATAAATTCTACTTCAGTCAAAAACACGTTTTATTTCTTACTGCTGGATGAAGGATCTTTGGGCAAAACGTGGGAATAAAAGCCCTAATTGTGCTGCTTATTTTGAAAAAACCAAATCTAATTTTATCAATTAGCTGCTTCAAATATCCGTCGCTCTGTTTTTTATTGAACACAAACGGGTCAGAACATGTTTTATATCCGACCGTCGCTCTCACCGCAAAGTTCAAACATCTCATGAATTATAAAAAATACTTACAGGAGAAAATCGTAGCGTTGCTCAGATTGTGACGGATTTAATTAAAATCTCTGGTCACTGATTTAAATCTAAATCTGCAGCAAATGATTGAAAAGCTTCTGGTTGTTTCTGTGACCTTCTTCTTCCTCTTTGTGTGAAATAAATCAGTTTTAATGTAAAATAATCAAATAATTTGTGCCTTTTTGTTTTTAATTCGAGGGTTAATTTTCAGGTATTAAAATCTTATAAAAGGAATAAAAATCGTTTGGATTTTGCTGTTTTTTTGCCTCCTGGAGGCTCATCGTGGCTCCGAGGCGCCTCCTCCGGCTCCAGAGTCGACCGCGAGCGACCGCCGGGCTTCGGTCGCCAGTTTCCGAGATGCTACGAGCAGAAGGTCGCTGCTCAACAAAGTGGCACAATTTAATTTGTGCGGCAGAACTGCATGGCTGCGATAGACTCGGTAATGAAACCTCTCAGCTCTAAGTTCTGTCTACTTTATATTCACAAAGGGAAACGAGCGAGGCAGCCATCGTGGAGACATGCAAATACACTGATCTCTTTAATACGAGCTTCACCCAATTGGACGGCGGCGACTTTGACAAGCAGAACAAATGCCCTGCGAGCGCAAACATGTGCAGGTCAGGAGGAGCGGGCTGATGGCCGAGGCAGAATTCAACTTTCTTTATCCTCTTTTCAACGCCGCCAGTCACATTCTGCCTGTTCGCTTACTGTTAAATTAGTCATCTGAGATTAGAGGCGGCTTAAGGGGCAAAACTTTTCCTTCAAGCTCTGCAACTTATACCGAACATATGCAAAAACAAAATGTGGAAGTTTGTCTTTGTCGGGAAGTTTTTTTTCTCTTCATGTGGTCGCCTCGTGTCCCAGTCAGCCGTCACAACAACAATAAGAAGCATGTAAATACAGGAAACCTGCGGCCGCCCGACCGGAATAAAAAGCTTAAAGGAGCAGCGCGGAGCATGAATAATGCAGAAAATTAATATAGCGGCGTGTGAAGCCGCCGTTTCAGATGAGACGACATCGCAGCGCCGGTTAGCTTCTGTGTTTTCCAACAAAACGGCGTTTATCAGAGCGACGAGCTGCAGCTTCCAAACAGAAACACAGGATTTTGACACGAGTCGTTCTAAAGTGAACAGGAATTAGCCGCCTGGAAAAGTCTTTATTGTTTTTTAATCTCCATCCAGGAGACGTGCAGCTAAAGGCCACATTAACGGGAACAATAAACCACGCTGACGTCTGACTGATGCTTGTGCTGAACGATGATGACTTCTAATAAATCTCCACTTTGTGTGTCGGCTTTGCTGAGTGAAGATTGATGGAAACGAACGCCGGTTTTATCTGTTTTAATTTAACTTCCATCACTGCATGAGCAAAAAGTAAAGAAAATAAAGTACTACTATATTTCACCATTAACCGGCGACCATGTTTAAGCTTTTAGCCACAATGTCAACTGGTAGCTCTGCTTTTAGCTAACTATATGAACAGGGAAGTGTAGATTTAACCATGTGCTAGCTACATACAGCTAACAGCTAGCTCTACATTTAGCTAACAATTGTTTATCCGTACTTTTAGCTAACACTTTTAACAGTTACCTATATATTTAGCTAGTTAGCTACATGTCGAGACATATAGTTAGCTTAATGTATAACTTACAGTTAACGCTACATTTAGCTAATAATTGTTTATCCATACTTTTAGCTAACAATTTCAACCGTTAGCTAAACATTTAGCAAGCTAGCTACATCTGGTTAGCTACATGTTGAGACATATAGTTAGCTAAATGTACAACTTACAGTTAGCGCTACATTTAGCAAAGTATCTAAAATAAGAACTGTACATTTAACTATGTGCTAGCTACGTACAGCTAACAGTTAGCTCTACATTCAGCTAACAATTGCTTATCCATACTTTTAGCTAACAATTTCAACCATTAGCTATATGTTTAGCTAATGATTTCAATTGTTTATCTGTACTTTTATCTAACACTTTTAACAGTTACCTATACATTTAGCTAGTTAACTACATGTTGAGACATAATGTTAGCTTAATGTATAACTTACAGTTAGCGCTACATTTAGCTAATTATTTCAATGACGTGCTTTCCATCAGGGTCATACTTAACACCAAAACCAAAGTAGTCCCAGACGCCAGATCGGACGGACGGTGGACGATCGTCAACTTCAGCTAACGTCTCAGCAGCTTGGACTGGATGAGTGTGGGAGACGCTCGACAATGCAGCCCGGAGTAGTCGAGCACAGATCCACTGAGGTCAGCACAGAGCGCTTTTTAGACGTTAGCGCTACATTTATTTATACATTTTATTTCAACCATTAGTTACACAATTAGATCAGAATGTCAACTGTTAGTTATACTTTTAGTGAACAGATTTAACCATTAGCTATCTAACTAACAATTTCAGCTGTTTGCTAGACAATAAGTCTTTAATTTAAACCAATTATCCTAACTTTTATTTATCTATTTTAATCTGTTTTGACCACCGCTACCTGTTTTCTCCATTTAAAAGCTATTCAGTCGTTTTATTTTAACTGTTTGAACCATCAACCATACTTTTAGCTAACATTTTAGCTCTAGCTGGAGTTAGCTGGAGGCTAACGTTAGCAGCAACATCGCTAAACTTGCAGGTGAAGGTGGGCGGGCGTGGCAGTCTGCTCTCTAGGTCCACCTTCTTTTCCTAATATGGTTTTTTTCTGCTACAAAAAAAATAAATAAATAAAAAATCCAAGATGGCCACCAGGAAGTAGAAAACCAGTGGGTGAAGAATGACAGTGAGGTACTGTTTGGATAAGCACAACGACATTTGAAGCCATTTTGATTTTAGGTTTTAGTATCTTTGACAAATTCTGAATCATTTTAAACTGTTTGAATTTAATTTAAACATATTTTTACAGTTTTTTTCTCCCTGAGATGAGGTTTCAGTAAAAAGTCCACTCCAGCAGGGTCAGTACCAAGTGTTTGATAGAATTTCACTTTTTAAAATCAATTTAAAAAACAACTAAAACTGAGTGTTTTTATTATAACGACAAGATAAGAACAACTCAAACGAGTTCTACGTAGACGTGATATAAAAACATCGTCTGCTCACGTCTTTACAAACAGCGAGCCGGTGATGAATGAGGAGTTTGTTAACCTGCAGTTTCACCAAACCGTCACTGGGTGGCAGCAAAACGCCACATGAGAACCTGAAAGACTCAGACGAGACTCGCATGAATGGTGGTCCACCTCATGGTTGAAACAGGGTTTAACTCAAAGACCTCCTGAGATGCTTTCATTCACTTTTATTAACAAAACTTTTATTATTTACAAAAAACACTTTCATCTGTTGTCAGTAGAAAAATAAAAAATAGAAACTATCAAACAGATCTTGGAGGAAACTCTGTGTCCATGTCAGAAAGCCGCTGCTGCTCCTCAGTACACTTTGGACCTGCAGGACGAGACAAACAGAGTTAATATTGGAGACGTAGGAGAAGCAGAAGAAGCGTCGCTGGAGGACGGCGTCACCTGGAGAAGGCCGATATGGAGAGCAGGCCGAGCAGCAGCTGGAGGCCGTAGAAGCAGAGCAGCCCGGAGCAGAGCAGGAACTCCAGCCGCAGGACGAAGGTCTGCAGCAGCAGGAAGTAGACGGCCAGAGCGGTGCAGGGCAGCAGGACGAAGACGGAGAGGCAGGAGGACAGCGAGCGCTCACACAGGTTCCCCTTCCAGCCTGGAGCAGAACCAGCACAGACAGTTTATCAGGGACCAGAGTTCTACCTTCAGACTGGGAATGTTCCACAGAGGAGGATCCAGATTGATCACCGTAATGGACTTCATCATTTCTGAGCCTCAGAACTTCATCAGAGCAGCAGATAGACACATGACATTTAGGAGGAAGACATTTAAGTCACTGTGGATGTTTCTCAGAACACTGGACAGACTGAAGACGTCATTCTGGACAGATTTGAGCCATTTTAAGCAAATGTAGGTGGAACCTGTGCCGGATGTGGTGGGTTTGGTGTGAGATGCAGTAAAAGTCACCGTAGAAGATCCGGAGCGTCTCCAGGGCGAGGAAGAGCAGCAGCAGAACCACATCCAGAACCAGGTTGTCCAACGGGTACGGCAGCAGAACCCCTGGACGGACGCGACACCAGGCATCAGCGGGTCGGTTCAGGTCCGAGGACAAGAAGGAAGAAAGTCACTTTTCATTTGTCTGCTTTTGATCTGAGTTCAGAAAAGATGTTTGTCTCTTTGTGGTTGTTTTGTGTCTCTTTGTGGTTGTTTTGTGTCTCTTTGTGGTCGTTTTGTGTCTCTTTGTGGTTGTTTTGTGTCTCTTTGTGGTTGTTTTGTGTCTCTTTGTGGTCGTTTTGTGTCTCTTTGTGTCTCTCGTGGTCGTTTTGTGTCTCTTTGTGGTCGTTTTGTGTCTGTGCAGCTGATTTCTTTGTGGTCGTTTTGTTTTTTAGCACATTCTTAATTTACTTCTTTGGATTTTGTCACAAAACAAAAAAGTCCAGTAAGTCTGTAACTGAAACCTCACATCAGAAAACTGCTAAAGAACGCGTTTTAATCTCGGCTCTTGTAGCTGCAGTGTCGGCTGGAACCTCCTGGAGGCGCCAGAGATCCTTCTACATGGGAAAACTCCTGATATTTAAAACAAAAACGTGTTTCTGACTGAAGTTCATCAGACGACGGCGCCACGAGGAACGCAGAAGGTTTCAGGTTCCTCAGAATATTTTCATTATCGATTACTGAAGAACCACGAAAATGAGAAACGACGTTTACTTCGCTGGTTTGTTGATCAAATGTCCAAACGTCTGTCTCAGATATTCTGGTGTCAGTTGGACTTTAACGTCACAGGGAGCTTAACACTGACTGGACGCAGCGTTCTAACCGGTGACCAGAGCTTTGGACCCTAAATGTTTATTTTCTCCTCAGAAATGTTCATTCTGAAACTGAAACCCTTTCATGTCGTGTCTACGCTGCTGCTGTTTGTGCGGCGCCGTGAGGAAGCAGCAGACCTTTGTAGATGAACATGAGGATCTCCGCCAGGTAGAAGGCGGCGAAGTACCATCCGTTGAGGTAGAAGAGGAGCTGCAGGGGCGTGGACGAGAGCTGAGGAGACACGTCAAGGACACACCACCACAGATTCCCGTCTAGCTTCTCACCTGAAGCTGCCAAACGAGGAATCCTTCAAGCTGTTGCTGCATCAGCTGTCGGGTCAGAACCACGACGCGTCGACACCAGCCGACAGGAAGACTCCGGGTCGGTCGGTGTGTTCTGCTCAGCGGTTACCTGTGTTTACCTGTTTGGCAGCGATTTGCTCAATATTTTGGCAGAACTTTGAGAATCTTGTCTGTTTTCCCGTCTTACCTGTGGAGCCGATTTTCAAGGTTCAGAATCTCGAGAATTAAAACTCCCACAGCCTCCAAACGGGCCGAGGACACCGACGGAACCGCTTCCTGTAGAGCCGTAATGGTTGGAATGGATCCAGCAGAGGTTCAATGTTCGGACCTTGAGAATGGAAAAAGTCCCTGAAAGTGTTTTTATACTGGATGTGTGACCAGTATGGCAAAGTTCTGATGTTTGTTTTTTTGCAGTTCTGACTCGATAACTGTGGAAAATGACTTGAAAAGGGTCCAAAATCAGCTGAAACTGAAACAAAACATCTCAAAATGTGTCTGAAGTGACTCACGATTGGTTAAAGAGGCCGTAAAATAGTTGAAAATGACTTAGAAGAACTCAGAATGATCAGAAAATGACCATAAATCAGTCCAGAATTACTTGAAGTCTGCTCAGAATTACAATCATGATTCATTATTGACCCGTGAAAATGAAAAAAGTTTTAAAAAGCGTGGCGAGGACACAGAACAGCCTCCTGTCGATTTAAATGACAAACTGAGGACACACGTTTAATTAATTGAAAATAGAAGAAAGTGAAACGTTTTCAGATGAAGGTTCCAGTTTTTAGATATTTTAAACTATCAAAACATCAATAAGAGTCCAGTTGGACAGTTTTGTTAACGCTGGACGGGTTTACGGCTCTTCTGAGTTATTTTTGAGACGGTTTTTGGTTTGATTTGAACGTTTTTTAGACGTTTCTTCAGCAATTGTATGAAAATTTGATTTCTTTCAATCTGGTCAATTTTACAGTAGTTTAGGACAGACTTAGTGTGATTTAGGACCAGCTTTAAGTCTTATGGGACGATGTTTGAGTTATTTTGGACACAGATCCAAATGACTGAACGGCTCCAAGAGGAGAAATGTTGGACTTTTGTCCATGAAATTGGGAAAAAAAAAAAAAGTGCAATATTGTTCAAACCAGGATGTTGTTGTGTCTCCAGAGAGTTCCTGTCAGTGTCTGTCTATGGATGGATCCATGGTTCTACTAGAACCAGTCTCTGGTCACATCTCACCACCTGTTGAGGCTCTAACATCAGCAGAACCTGATGTGGTGAAGTTGGACCAGACGAGGTTCTGGTTTTACATGTTCAGACTCAATGTGGATCATTGGTACGAACCAGAACCTGGAGTCCACAGGTTCTAGGTGTTGGTTCTGGATGTGCGGAGCTACAAGATGCTTCATGTTTGTCTTTGGGTGGAAATTCAACAACAAACGAGGCGGATTTTGCTGAAGGTTCCCTGAACAGAGAAACTGATGACGATTCAATAAAAATAATGTTCAAATCCATTATTTAAGAACAAATAATTAAAACGTGTTCTGTGCTGGATCCATTCAGTCCTGAGATCTGCTGGAAGCTGTTCAGAGTCTGTCTGAGTTTTATTTCTGGAGATATCGAACCCTTAAAGTTCTTTTTTAGGGTGAAAGTGTCTCAAAATCCTGCCAAATTATTTAACAGAACTTTTTTAGTTTTAGGTCCCAAATGAGTAACGTGACCAGAACCGGAGACGCTGCAGCAGATTCATGTGAAGGATACGATCGTCTGACTTCCTGCAGAACAACAAGAGGAACACAAAACACAACCTGATTATTGACCGCTTACAGCCCATAATAAGCTTCAGAACGCAGGAGCAACTTAAAACCTTCTCATGAGAATTACTAACCAACATTTTCATCACGTCTTCAGTCCAAAACCCAAAGAATTTCACTTTATAGTCAGGTATGACAAAAGAATCCTGACATCTGGAGCCTCCAAACAATCACAACTTTTCATTTATGTATTTATTTGTTCAGATTTATTCTCAGTAAGATATCAGCAGAGACTGAATTTTAGATTATCAGTCGCTTTCAGCTCAGTGAGACTTTCTGACGTTTCACCGACTCATCAGCAGATTATTATTTATGACATTTATGATGGAAACAGCAGCCAGTTGAGGAACCAAATCTGAGGATCTGCTGTCAGACGACGACAACAGCATCCAGACCACAGCTGATCAGGTTCAGTGTCTACACTCATCGAACCTGGACCTCAGAACCAGGTAAACTGGCTGTGATCTGCTCTGCTGCTGTCTGGATGGAATAAAAAACGCTTTTATAAATAAGACGAGGGTTCAGAGTGTCTCCTTCTTCCACCATCTGCTGCCTGAACATCATTTCAGCTGCTGTCACGTCGCTCTCAGCAGACAGAAAACACCAGAAGGTCCGGATTATTTTTCCAGGCGACGCGACGGTTTTCAGGACATTTTACTGTTTCTGTCATTTGCTGTGAGTTTTGAAGGACTATAAAAAGCAGCTCCTAGTGTTTCTAGGAAGGTTTAAACGTTTAATTTTGGCCATTCTGGTGAACGTTTATTTACATTTCTCCTGCATCCCACCTGAAATCTACAACCCGAGTCTGTTCAGATCACAGTCGGGCTTAAAAAAATCACTTTTTGCTGGTTTTGAAGGCATCATTAGGTCATTTCAGTTAATTTCCTGTTTCATAATTCACTCTACACCCATGGGATTAAGATTAATTTAGCATTAAATAAATAATTACATCAATAAATTATAAAATACTCATATTCATTAAATAATGAACAATTTTTATTTGTATTTAATTCAATAAATATGTAAAATATAAATGAAATAAACAAAAGTAGGCCTTGAAAATGTTTTTTTATATTATAATGAATGTATTTATTTATGATATTTGTTCATATATTTATTTATTTGTTTATTTAAGGGTTTATTTCATTGCAATGTGTATGTAACACACAGGAATATTTATGAATAATGGATGAATTTAGGGATTCTACACACACACATACATATCTATATATTATATGAGTACTGATTGTTGATTTCATTGTATGCCTGCAAATAATGATGATTTTAGGATTAGATATGGTAAACTTTATTGATCACGCAGCAGGTTCATGTTACAGCAGCTAAGTTAGCTTAAGGCTAAAAATAAAAATACAACAACGACTATGTTTCAGTCATAAAACTACAAGAGAAGCTGCTGTTTGCTCAGTAAATCTCTAAAAGGATCGCTGATGAACTAAAGCCTTGTTTCCTTCATCCTTAAAACGAGTATTTGTACAGCATCAGAAGTAGTATTAGTAGTAGTATTGGTAGTAGTACTAGTAGTAGTATTAGCAGTAGTATTAGCAGTAGTACTAGCAGTAATACTAGCAGTAGTACTAGCAGTAATACTAGCAGTAGTACCGGACAGGGCTGAACACTGACATGTTTTCTGTCTCTTCGTTAGCCCCTGTTAGCCTGTTAGCCGGCTGCTAGCTAACTGCTAGCTTCGCGGTTTATTCTCAGCCGCTGTTTGCCGATGAACGTCTTTTAAAGCGACATTTAAACGCCGTAACTTTGGCGAACAGGCGATCTGCACCGACGCTGTTCACTGTGTTTGTTTGTTTGGAACAAAGAACGACATGAAACTTACCGGGCGCCATGTCTGACTCAGTCTGGTTGCCGTGGAAACAGCTTGGGTGGACGTGCTTCTTCTTCTTCTTCTCTGGATAAAAGCGGAGCGGTTTTAATTGAGCGACCTGCTGCCCCCTGCAGGTGGTGAACGGTTACTGCCGGTGTCCCGGACGGCGGCTTTCTGCTGAACGACTTAAATTATCATTTATTTGTTCGTTTGTTTAAATTACACGAACTGTTAGATTTTCTTTTAACCTCAAAGTGATCATAGATAGAGCATCTAAATGTATATAATAAACACAATTGCCTAATATTAACATAATGAGGTAAATTTAAACAACAAGTATATTGGTAGAGTCTTAACTCTACATTTTAAATAATTCAGTAAAATCTTGCATAATAACATTGTAGGGCGTTGACTTTACTATTTAAACTCGTTTGTCTAATTTATGTAATAAATTGTATGAGCGTAATCTAAATATTTATATTTAAATAAACATTGAATTTTATTTATTTAAGTAAAATTGTATTGGGGAAAAATAAGTGTAGCATTGGGAAATTAAAGCCCTGTGACTTTAGATTAGTGTTTTGTTAAATATTAGTTAATAATGTTGAAGAATCTTGACTGTAACATTAAACATTTTTAGGTTAAATGATAAAATAAATTGTATTTTAGGGTTTTAACTTTAATATTTAAATTGTCCAGGATAATTTTCCAATTGAATCATATTATATACACATAACCTTGACATTTCTGCTGCTCATCCACATCAAGTTTGCTTGAAGTTGTTTTTTTTTTTGTTATTACGATGTTGAAAATTATTGTACTTTAGTTTGTTCCTGTTAATTTTCCTTTATATTTTATCAATAAAACAATAGCTAAAAAGCAAATATAACTACTTGTCTTCCCAGAAACTGTTGGTAAAAAGTGTAATGCGAAGCCTTTAAGAACTACATTTTCCAGCTTCCTCCCGCGGCGCCCTGATTGGACGGAATCGTGCGAGAGTTTACGTGGCACTGCCGTGTCCGCGCATGCTCAGCAGTGGTGAGCTCAGTCCCGGCAGGAAGATGGTGTCGGTCCGGATCAGGATGCGGTCGTGCGTGTTTTCAGTTTTGCTGCTGAACTTTTTGTGCAGCTCCGTGTCTTCTCTGTATTTCCACATCGGGGAGACCGAGAAGAAATGCTTCATCGAGGAGATTCCGGACGAGACGATGATCATCGGTGAGTGTCGGCGGCTAGCCGCTAATGCTAACTGCTAGTTCGCCCAACAACTTTAGCTAGTTAGCTAATCGGCTAGCGCGGCTAAAGTTGTGTGTCGTGTCCTCGGAAAGTCTGCAAACACCGAAGTACAGCTCTAGTCAACGGATATTCTTATACAGATTTATTCTCTTTCATTATTTTAATATAAAAAGCAACTTTAGCTACAGTAGAGAGACCAGTTAGCGGCTGATTTGTCATTTAGGGAGTGATATGATGTCAGCTGAATGTATTGGAAATGAACAACTATCCTCAAGTGCATTTATTTGCCACTATTTCTCTGTTGAAGTAGGATTTTGAATGAAGTACTCCTCCTGCTGAACAGCACGGAATAATAGCTCATAACTACACAGAGATATGGGTTAAAATCAGGTCTTGGTCTTGTTGAATCCTCCTTAGCTTAGTGGTTTTGCTGCCAGATGCTAATAAAAGTTAATCCAGCATCATTGTGCAAGCATGAAACTCTCAGTGTGAAGCAGAAAGCAGCTCGTTCCAGCCTCAGTGCTGTCAGGAAGTGGGCCGGCTGTCAGATCAGCGCTTCCTGTTGGACGTGGAGACACAGCCGCCTTCAATTAGGACCATTATTCTCATTGGTGATTGTTTAATGGAGGAATTCATTCGTTGTTTGGGCTCTAAAATGTCAGAAAATAGCTGATAATTAATTAAATAGTTTAGTTGTAATCTTTTCACTTCATCCAGCTTCTTCATTTTTGTTATTTTTAACTCTCCCCTGTTTGTAGGACAATAAATCTATTTTTGTAAAGTCGTGTTCTGCTGTCTGAAGAAATTAAACTATAATTAAACTAATAAAACAAATCAGTTCAACCAGCAGTCCAGTAAAGAACCTGTGAGTCGCTGCCTTTTGTTGAAACAAATCCCAGATAGTTAATGACTGGATTTCATGCCCCACATTAAACTGTGTTCATGTGTTTCAGGAAACTATCGCACTCAGCTGTACGACAAGCAGAGAGAAGAGTACCTGCCGGCCACTCAGGGTCTGGGCATGTACGTGGAAGTCAAGGATCCTGATGACAAGGTGAACACTGAGACTACACATGGACACCAGCAGCGTTTATACCTCTAATGTCACCGTCAGTCAGGATTCATACGCAGCACGTCTGCCGTTGTTTTCCAATCATTTACTGCAGCTCACCGGCTGAACCATGTAACTTAAGCCTCTGTTAGTTTTAGATTTGATGTTAATGTCTTCAAACTGCACCTTTCTGTAGCAGCAGCTCCTCCTCCAGGTTCCTGGACTTTTTCTCATCTTTGAACTGTTTAACTTTGCGACTGAACTCGTGACGCTGTCGGTAGACGGTCAGCGAAATGCAGACGAATGAATGTTAGATGTTGAACACTCAAGACGGAGGAGCTGCAGCTCGTCATCAGTTAGTTTTTTAAAGAGAAATTCTCTCATTGCAGCTTCTTACATGTGAACATTTTCCGGTTTCTTTTCTCCTCTGTGGCGGCAAACTGAATGTCTTTGGACACAACCAGACATTTGTCATGAAGGGAAACTCAGACTGACGATTAAAATATTTGTTATTTGCAGCCATGAGAGATGAACAGTCGACGCCACTGAGACACAAACGGTGGAAATGTGATGAAAACATTTCTCTTAGTTTGAGTTTTTATCCGAGTTCTTGATGCAAAATGATCGCAGCTCAAATGTTTGTCATCTGCCGGTTGTGTAATGAGTCTTACAGACGTGTTTGGATTCAGATCTAGAGCTCGGTCGTCTCCACCTTTAGGAACAGAAACTCAGACTAGAACCCCTCGAGGTGTCGCTGGGTGTTTGTTATGACTCTTGTTTCTGTTCTCGGTTAAACCAACTCGTCTTCAGCCGGACCTGACGTCTCCGTTTGCCTCCTGCAGGTGATCCTGTCTCGGCAGTACGGCTCTGAAGGACGCTTCACCTTCACGTCTCACACGCCCGGCGAGCATCAGATCTGTCTGCACTCCAACTCCTCCAAGTTCTCGCTGTTCGCCGGAGGCATGCTGGTGAGGAGACGGCCGGCGGTCATGAATCGGTTCTGACGCCAAGTCAGACGTTCAGAGAAACATTTGAAACTTCACACAGTAAAAAATAATACATTTAAAAACAGACAAATGTGGTAAATAGTCGTAGAATACGTTAAAAACTGGAAAAATACTGACAAATATCTGTTTAAAAATGTGATTTAAATGATTTAAATATAAAGAAACTTAAATTTTATAATCATTGTTGATAAAAAATTGGTTTTTGAAGTAGACAACAGGAAAAATCTGTAAAACAACAATTAAGACAATCATTTTTCATCTTTACGTTATTTTTCTTTCAAATAACCACAAATGTCTGTAAATAGATTTATTTTTTTGCGGATCTAAAGACAGTAAGAATCATTCAGGTCAAACATTTTGAAAGAACAAACTCCCATCAGCATGTTTTCTGTCCTCATTACGTCCAGTTTTGGTTTTCAGGTTAACACAGAAGTTAATGTTTTATTTCTGTGGATTTATAAGTTATCTGTAATTTAACAAAACAGGAAAATCAGAAAAAATAAGACGAACAATAGTTTGAAAGTTTCATAGAGGAAACGATTAAATCACTTTATTTACAACAGAATCGTTTATTTTATTCAGATTCTCTCCTGTTTTGCTCTAAACTCCAGAACCGCCGAGTATTGAACAATCCTGACATTCAGCAGAAACTCAGGAAGCGTTTATTTAATGTTTCCTGTGAGAACGTCTGTTGAACACTAAGGCTGCTCCGTTGCTTCCTGCAGAGGGTTCACCTGGACATCCAGGTGGGCGAGCACGCCAACAACTACGCCGAGATCGCCGCCAAGGACAAGCTGACGGAGCTGCAGCTGAGAGTCCGGCAGCTGGTGGAGCAGGTGGACCAGATCCAGAAGGAGCAGAACTACCAGAGGGTCAGTCTCCAGGGGGGGAGTGTGGTTCTGTCAGAGGGGGTTTAGGGAGGTTTGTGGACCCCCAAATCTTTAATGTCTGATCAGTGGAATCACGTCTGCTGCTTCCACATCTGAAGGTCCTGATTCAGAAACTTGTGATGTGAGTCAAAGTTTAAGCGGATAGTTGGAGAGGAGACGTGTCGCTCTGTGAAGCTATGGAGCGACCCGCCTCTGAGCAACAACCGGTCCAATCTGATCTACTGCAGACATGTCAAACCGTGGTGGTCCTGGTCAGGTTCACACCAAACATCTGGACTCCATCTGAGCAGAGAATGTTCTCCAGCATCCATCAGGCTTCTTACAGCAAAGTTTAATCTGGAAGTTTAGCTTTAGTTCTGGTCCTCGGTCCATAGAGGTCGATGTTCTGAAGTGTCTGAGCTTCACACTAACTCTGGTCTCCATTGATCAGCCCTGTGCCAAGTCTGAAGCAGCTGCCTTTGTCTGGTGTCCACAGCTCCACAGTGACAGTAGCTGACTGTCCGTGGAGTCATTGTAGGAGGACGACCACTGCAGCCCTGATCAGTGCTGCTGTGGCTCCTTCTGGACCTCCTGGTTCCTGCTCACACTGGGCTGCACTGGGTTCTAGTTTCTGGATCCTTTTCCATCTTTGTCCAGTCTCCCAGTCAGATGATTCTCCTCCTCTGTTCAGGTCTTCTCCACGTCACGTCATTTTAGACCAAATTTAAAGTTATTTAGAGTCACTCTGGACCATTTTCACTTGTTTTTGACTGATTCTGAGTCACTCTGGACGAGTTTAGAGTCATTTCAGGAACACTTTGAGTCATTTTTACTTGTTTTGAACAAATCCTGTCATTTGGGACCAGTTCTAGTCGTTTTGGAGACATTTTGAGCCATTTACATTTTTTTTTTTTTCACTTGTTTTGGACAAATTTCAAGACATTTCAGACACATTTTGAGCAATCAGATGTTTCTGTGGATGCAGACGTAGACAGACCCAGTCCAAGGTTCTGCTGTTCACAGAGACCCAGATCAATGTGTTGGGCTCAGATGGAGTCCAGATGTTTGGTGTGGACCTGACCAGGACCACCACAGTGGATGCATCACTGGGGCCTGAGTTTTCCTTCTGGTCTTTATAAAGTGTTTGTTGTGGGTTGTTCATGGAGAGTTTTCTGCCCCCTGCTGCCCCCTGCTGCCCCCTGCCGTGTCTCCAACCTGTGAATGTGTGCTGAGCGCCCCCTGCTGTCTGTCTGTCCTCCCTCAGTACCGTGAGGAGCGTTTCCGTCAGACCAGCGAGAGCACCAACCAGAGGGTGCTGTGGTGGTCCATCGTCCAGACCCTGATCCTGGTGGCCATCGGCATCTGGCAGATGAGGCACCTCAAGAGCTTCTTCGAGGCCAAGAAGCTGGTGTAGACAGTCCGAGTGTGTGTGTGTGTGTGTGTCTGTGTGTGTGTGAGAGTGTGTGTGAGAGTGTGTGTGTGAGAGTGTGTGTGTGTGTGTGTGTGTCTGTGTGTGTGTGTGTGTGAGAGAGTGTGTGTGTGTGTGTCTGGTCTCTACTGATGGATGCAGTACTGAGCGGCGACTGTCGGAGGATCAGCTGCCGAGGAGGCAGAACGAAGCAGCTGCAGCGTTTCGGCTTGAAAACAACACGTTTGTTGTTGTTGTTGTTGTTGTTGTTGTTGTTGTTTGTCAGCAGCCCTGCGTGTGTCGAGCCCCTCACAGCGTCGGGATCACGTGTATTTATTACAGGCGGCTTCACCTCTCAGATCTGGACCGAACCGGGCCGACGTCCGGCAGGTGTTTGTCTGTTTGTCGCTGTGACGCGTTACTGGAAGCCAGAGTCGGGTTTACAGGTGGAGCCGGTCCGTTTGCTCCCTCGTCTCGTTAGGAATTTACAATCAAGAGTTCTGTGGCTCATTAACTAATCAAAGCTGCTGATTATTTAGTTTATTTGACGGCGACACTTTCAGTTTATTCACAGCGAACGCAGCATCAGTGAGTTTTCACACTTTTGTTGGAGTAAAGATCAAAGCAGGCAGCGACACCAGAACTCGGATTCAGAGGCAAACGAGACTCAAAGCGACGAGTGAGACGCTGCTGAGGTCGTCTGATCTAATGAATCTGCAAATTAGTCTGTTTTTCAAGCAAAAACTGTGAAAAACGTACTATATTTGCAGGTTTCTTGGGTTAAAAAGAGAAAATTCGCTGCTTTTCTTTGTTGTAAATGAAATTCTTCTGGACTTTTGCGCTGACAAACACAAACCTAAAGACTCCACCTTCAGTTTTATAAACCAAACAGTCAATAATCTGCATCCTTTACAAAATAATAAATAGTTTCAGTTCGTTTTTAAGCAAAAAAATCGTGAAAAGGCTCAATTTGTGCAGATTTCTGTCTAAAAAAATGGAAGATTTCAGGTTTTGCTGGGACAAAGTTTTCAGACGTCGCCTCCAGGTTTCAGTTTTATCACCAAACAGTCGACTCGTCACAATAATCTGCAGCTGTTTTAAATCAATGAACCGTTTCTGCCATCGTTGAAGGAAAATTAATAAGAAGAGGACGAATAATGAGAAGATGTTGTTTTCTTTGTCATGCTTCGTTGTAAATGGAACGTTTTGGTTCAGTTTTCTGGCAGTTTTTGATGTTTTCTGAACCAAACAACGGATCGTTTTGTTTACTTTCACGCCGCGACTCTTGGACACCTCTGAGTTTTCATGACGTCTCCGATGCAGTTTGAGCTTTTTTTCTTCTCTTTTCTGTTTGTTTGCTGCGTTCAAATGAATCCGTCGCTTGTTAACGAGCTGAATGTAGCTTCCTGCTTCCTGTGGCTCTGGTTCTGGGTTGCTTCACGATGAAGGAAGAAGAAGTCGCTCTGAGAGGAAGAATGTTTAACGAGCCTGAAAAGCCATTTTTTTTAGCTCCTCCGTGCTGCCGACACATTTTTTTTCACTTTTGAGGTTCGGAAACAACGAAAACCTGCAGAAATCTGAGTTCTCAAACTGACGACGCTGAGAAACAAACGCCCGAAATCGTTCTCAGACTTTAAGACGCCGTCAGTCGTGCAGATTGTTTTTCACTGTGTGCGTTTTTCCCTCCTCGTTTCTTGAGATTTAGTTTTTGTTTTTTAATAATCTCGTGTTTCGTTGCTGGTAGCTTTCAGTTTTCTGGAAACGTTTCTGGGGTAGAATTGAATCAGTTGGAAGAGGGACATGAAATTTATTTTAGAGTGAAGTCTGTCTGAAGTCCGGCGTGAGTGGAGAACGTGTGACGGACAGAGTTTCTTTTATTCTTGTAATATTTCTCACCAGAACTCGGCTCATAAAGTCACTGTGCAGAGTTTTTATATGCTGTAATATGATGTGTTTTCAGGGGGAAAAGTGTTTGAAACATGAATTTGAGAGAAATGCGACTGCAAAGTGTAATAAAATGGAAACCAACACAGAACGGTGTCGCCTGGTTCCTGCTGTCGGGTTTCAGCTTCAGAAAAACTCATCGGTGGACGTTTCATTGGCAGAAGTCAGATTTTTAAGACGTTTCACATCATTATAGGAAATTCTGGAGCATCTTTCTGAGCTTCTTATGATTAAAGTAGAAACATCTCAAAAGTATGGAGCAGTGAGAGGC